GTCTTTTATATGGGTATTGTTTATATCTATGTGTGTTTTTATTATGTGATTTATTTGTATTATAATATGATTTGATTCTATTTGAAATATTGGTAAAATACTTATGGTGATGAAAATGATTGAAGTGATGAATGAAACGATTCATACAATTATTATTATAATTATTATGATAATTGTTATGGTGATAGTTATTAATATGGTAATGATTAATGTGATGATTAATGTATTTCTGTCCATACAGATAATACGTGTTTTCACTCATTCTTCTATCATTTATATTTCATGGTGATATGGATTTCTCCTTCTTTTGTTATTGATTAATTTATAATTTTTGTGGTGTTTCCTGTAATGCACCTAGAATAAGAAGGGTATTCAATCCAATATAAAATGGAATTGGAGAAAGTTTGTAAGAAAGTTAAAGTGAAATAAAAGAAGAAGAGATTGGTATCAATCTCTGTAGTAATTTCAATAAACGAGTTTGTAATGAAGAAAAGCGATAAACAGCCAAAGAATTAACAACCGAAGTTACAAAACAAAAGAATTCAAAAAAGTTAAGATCAAAAATCTGAATGAAGGTATAGAATATTGTTTCTAGAACAACCAAAGACTGTCCTTAGATGTAAGTGATAATAGCAATGGGATAGAAGTAATCTCCAAAGAACAAAGAACAGTAAACAACAACTAAAATATTAAATTATTAGTTTTTTAGTTTCAATTATTGTTTATTTAAAAAAAATTGAACTAAAAAGAACTTAAAAAATCAAGATAAAAGGAATTTATCATGGAAATTGCTGATACTGAAACTCAACTTTCAGAAAGTCTTCAACATTTACAACAAATGCTCAATGGATATAGTAATGGACAGGGAATTGTTACATCAAAATTTTTATATCAATTAAAAGAAATAATAGAAGCTTCTAAAATGGTTGTTGAAACTACAAAAATAATTACACGGGAAATATTTTTAAAAGAACCAGCACTAAGAAATGAATTGGTTTCACTTTCTATTGAAATTGTTGATGCGTACATTGCTCTAGAAAAATTAACTAATACATTAAAATATAATTTAATGGATGAAACAACGCCATCAATTGTTATGTCTAGTTGTGAGACAATAGCATTAAATTGTGCGACGATCTTACATATTTTTAATGGCTCTTCATTTACTCGGTTATTTTCTGAATCACAATCATTACTGTTTGTCATTTCTTTTCGTTTTATTATAAGATTATTATCATATTTATTTCATTTAGTGAAAAACTTGCTCAAGTTAATCCATCAACTATTACTAATTATACTACTTCTACTGTCATTGCTGAAATTGCAGTACAACTCCATACTCATTTAACTCATTTATTAACTCAAGTTAATTTATCAACAGACGAACCACATCAATTACATTCTCTTCATCATTTATTATCAGACCAATATGCTACATTTATTTCAGCATTTGATGAATATCTAATTTCAAATAAGACAACAGAAAAAGCAGAGCTTGTTTATAAAGCTTGTAAAGAACTTTCAACATCTCTTAATAATGAAATTCATTTAATATCACCAGTACATCCATTAGCATCACGTCCATGGAAAGGAACACGTTTAAGAGCAACAGAACTCCTTAAAAGTGAAGATTTTGAAGGAATTACACCAATATTATTAACGTGGGATTTCCCTACACCAAGAGTATTACCATTAATTGATTCATTAAAAAAAGCAGTTAGTGCAGGTGCATATGATTCAGCTGATGATACTAAAGTAGAATTATTAGAGTATTTCCAACAATTTGCAACAGGAGGATTAATGAAATATCAAGAAGATCCATGTAGAGAACAAACAGCAAAAATGTTACAATTAACACTTCATAAATTTGAATCAAAATATTGGAAATTTAAAGATAAAAGAGATGTTGGATTTGCATTAGCGTCATTAGAAGAAACGTTAGTACCATCTTCATTAGAAGAAGATATAGTAATACAAGAAATTAAAGAAATTGGAGAATGTCTTCGATATGGTACATTAAATTCACTTTATTTATTACCAAAATATTCTGAAAAATTAAGATTTTTAGGAGCATCAAAAGTAACAATAGGAAATACTAACACAATTCAAAATATATCAAATATTGAAGAATTACAAGAATATTATAATAATTTACCACCATTACCTGATAATGATGCATTATTAGTATTAAAAGAAATGGTAATAGAATTAATAATTCTTGATATTTTATTAACATCACCTGATTATCATAATGAACAATTTGAATATTTAACTCAAAGAGTTGTTCATTCAGTTACTAAAATTACACGGTCAAGTCTTTTTTTAGCATATCTTATTGAAAATCCATTTAATAGAGAAATTTGTTTATTAGCAGCCAAAAGTATTGAACAATCAATTACAGATATTGCACTATTTTTGAATGAATTAATTAGAGTAAAAATAAGAGAAGAAAGAGATTGGGTTGTTAAACAAGATATTGTAAAATTTATTCGTGGTGTTGAAATATTAATGTTTTATAGTCAACCACCACCAATTTATTACGCTTATAATTTAGTAGAAAATATTGTTAGAGATGCTGAAGCACTTCAAGTTTATCAATTTGCAAATATTTCAAAAGAAGTTGAATTTAGAATTAAAGAAAATTATAAAGAATTTAAAATTTGTGTTCATCCTAAAAACTGTAATTCTGATTTACTTTCACCTTCATTAATAAATGAATTTTCATCTGCTATTGAAATTTTAGATGATAGTGAAATAAAAAGAATTGGAACAGAAATATTAAAGTTACTAAAAAAACATCGTTGTGGTGATTTAATTCGTGTAAGTATTAATGTTGCTACAATGTGTGCACAACAATCTTGTTTATCTGTTTTTGAAAAAACTTATGATGGTATTAGAGATGCAATGAAAGCTTTTACTTTAGACGAACAATTTTTGTTTAAACAAATTAATGAAGAATTTGTAAGTAAAGGAAGAGCTGTCGTAAAAGATCAAAGTAGTATTGAAGAAATGTATAACGCATCTACTCGTTTAAGAAAAGCTTTAGATAATTGTTTTATTGTTGATGAAGTTAATCCATTACAAGCGGGATGTAGAGAAGTTAGAGAAGTAATGTCATCTGTTCAAAGTGAAGTTGTAAAATTAATTGTTCCTGATGTTGAAGTTAAAAAAATGTATAAAAAATTAGATGAAATCAATCATTTAATTTTAATTAAAAATTGGACTGAAGCACTTGAATCAGAATTAGTAGCTTTATTTACTATTTATCATGGTGATAAAGATTTAAAAGGAAGAATTATTACTACTTTGCAATTACTTGAATTGTTATTAGATTTCTTTGCCCAAAGTCATGTTCTTTACAGCAAACTTGAAAACCTTAAAAGAAAAATTGCAAATGGTTTAATTTTTATTAAATGGGGTTATTCTGATATTGTTGATGTAATGCAAGAAATTAATGAAGTATTAGATGAACAAGAATGAAGTTATCATTTAAATTTAACTTCATTTTTTTATTTTTAATTATATTTTATCAATAACAAAAAAAAAAGAAACTAAAATAAAATTTAGAAATTGATTGATTAGTTTTATTAAAAAATACTCAAAATGTTCATATCAAAGGATCAACAAATTTATCTTTATTTTCTTGTTTTGTTTCTTCTTGTTTTGTTGGTTCGATTGTTACTTGATTCTCTTTTACTCTATTAATTAAATTTTCATTGGGTTTTTCATCTTTAACTATTTCAAGTGGAATTTGTTTTTCTTTGTCATTAGTTTCAATTGTTGATTTATTATTTTCTTCATTTTTTTGTTGATTCAGGTGAACCTGAATTGGTTGTTTGGATTCTGTTTTTATTATCACTTTTTCATTGTATGATTTTCTTAATGAACTACTTTGTGGAATTGCTGGTAATTCTTTTGTACATGACTCTATTTTTGAGTCTCCATTAAATTCTTCAATTGTTCTAACATCTGGAGTTCTACATGGTGATAATATCAATGTACTACTTGCTTTAGAACCACCAAGAGAAATAGGAGAAGGAGAACCAGCAACTGATACTTTACATAATTCATTCATTTTATTACGATACCACCAAACGTTAAAATGTTGACTACCAATAAACTCTTTAATAAATTGTTTATGTGATTCATGTTTAATAATTTGAGGAAATCCTTGTTGGAATTGTGGGAGATCAATTGGTCCTTTAGAAATACAATAATTACGAACAAAACTTAATAATTTATCATATAAATGATGTTTAATCTTTTGTTGAACATCAGAACTAAATGAAACTAATTTTTGTTGAGGGATATTTTCAAGAGCACGTTCTCTTTCATTAAAAGTTTTAAATTTGATTACATCAGCAAAGGTAGCTTGAACACAACTACCAAGTGCAGAAGATAATTCAGCAGCAAATGGTAAGGCATGACGAATAACTGGATTTGTTTTTATAATTCTTTTTTCAAGAGTAGGATCAAATACACTTCCTTGTTCAAGTTGAATAACATCCGCAATGACACGAGTAATATCTTTCGGGATTTCCGTTCCATATAAACTAGGAACAGGAGATTCTAAGAATTCTTGTAATTGGACAGGAACAAATGGAATTAAAACACCTTGCCAAATAAAAGGATACAATAACGCTAATAATCCAAATACTGAACTAGTGATAAGTGATGCATTATTACCAACTAAAATTACAGAATTACCACTTAACAATGATGATAATGCACTTAATATAACTGGTATTTGAACTCCAACAAATAATCGAGGTAGTGCATAGTCTGCAATCATTTGTAAACAACATGCTGCTTGTTTATCTCCAGGTGCAAGAGAATCATATAAACAAGAACGATAAAAAGTTCTTGTTGGGGCAGGTGGAATTGTTATAGAAAATGAATAATCTTTTAAATCAGGTGCTTCAACTGCTAAAACTTTATTTAAATAATTAATCATTCTTTGTTTATTTGAAACATATTTTTCAGAAGGATTTCCACCATTTCTGAGATAAAATGCTTTGATATAATTGTTTTTAGAATGAAAATCTAATATTTCCATATCTTCTAACATTGAAAATAATGCATTAATATGAGGACATTCACTTACAAAGCAATAAATTCTATCAACGACAATTGGATTAGCTCCAATTGTATATATTTTTTGAATAACAGTTTCTTCAATAAAATCACTAGGAAATTGTAATAACTCTTTTCTTACAATACAAACACCTGAAATAATTAAAATTTCTTTTTCTTCTTTTTATCTTTTTTTATTTAAATAAAAAAAAGAATCTTTTAACAAACAGAACGATGTTGATGTTTCTCCTGGAAGAATTAATAAATATTTTTTTGGTGCTTCAAGAAGAACATTAAGTTTAGTAGTTTGTGTTGCAGTAACTCCTTGTGGTGCAATGAATTTAGCAAAGTGTTCTTGAAGGTCAGCTTCTGGTGGATAACAAAAGAGTTTTTGGGCATCGTATGTGTATGACCTCCTCCAAAAACTAAATTCATCTGTTTTAAAATTTGAAGGAAGTCCCCATATAGAAAATGATGATACAAGATTAGATGATGTCAACGTAATTGCTCTTTCTAATGGAGATGAACAAATATCACTAAGAGGAGCACTCATTGAATGTTCTGATGATATGAAAAGGAACTTATATTTTATGATCTTTTTTTTTCTGGTTGAATTTTCTTTCCACAATTCATTTTTTTTTTCATATTCTATAAATAAGTTTTCTTATTTTTCTTTAGATTTAATTAAAAAGGATAATTATTATTTCTTTCAAAATTATTTACTCTTTCAAATAACAGAAAATAAAATAGATTATTTATTAATTCAATTATTTGAATGATCAAATTACGATTACCATTAAATCAATTGAATTACTCATTAACTGATTGTTTTGTTAAATAAAAAAATATAAACAAAACACACTTTATATTAAAATGATATTTGAGAATGAAATTCAAGTAAATAAATAAATGAAAATAAAAATCAGAAAACTTAAAAAAATTTATTTATGTTATAAATTAAAATAACAAAAATTTAAAAAAATTTAAATAACATAATTTCTAGAGTTGGTTTTGATAAGGACAAGAACAATTTGAATGAAATTCTCCACTATCATCGAAATATGTTGAAAGTGTATAACAAAGACCTTGTGCACAAGGTTGAGATGAGGGTTGATAACGAGGACATATACCTAAACAAGTAGAAGAAGAAGAGTTTGTTGAAGTAGAAGAGGTAGTATTTAGACAATCACTACATTGTTTGAAACATTCATGAGGTTCTTGTTGAAGTTCTTGTTGGATTTCTTGAGGTGATTGAGGAGGAATTAGTATTTGTCTTAATTGATTATGTGTAAATGGATCATTCTGAGTACCTTGTAATAAAGTATTTGCATCAATTATACCATTGAACATTAATACATGGAGTACTCTACTCCAAAATGTATCAGATGGAATACTTTGTGGAATAGTATCTTTAACCTCTGGTTGTTGTAATTTTGTATATTCATTTATTAAATAATCAATTAATTGAGTTAATGTTTTAAATCCAAGTTTTTGTTGTAGTTGTTTTAATTTACGATATAACTCTGGTTCTAATCGAACACGACTCTCTTGTTGTTTTAACCGCTTTTGAGGTGAAGTAGTTCTTTGCATTTGAAATGATTCAATCTTTTATTTTCATTTATTTTTTTTGTTTTTTTATTGAAAAATCTATAAGAAAAAAACAGATACTAACTAAAAATCTGTTTTCTTGTTTGTTTCTTCCTCTAACATAACGTAATTTTTTTATTTTTGTTATTTCCATTTTGCTCAAAGAAGTTTTGTTTTGTTATTGAACTTTATTATGGACCATTTTTTATTCTTTTTGGACCATAAAATGTGTAGAAGTGGAATAGAATTACAGAATTCAATATCATTTTTATACTATAATCTTTAATTGATTCATTCTGTATTGGTGAAGGTTTGTTAGTAAGTCTCGTATAGCGTCATCAATGGATTACAAATGAAATGGTTGAAAAGAAGAAAAAAGAGTTGTTAAAAGAAATAAAAAATAAAATAAAAAATAAAAAAATAAAAAAAGCAACTTAATAAAAAGTAATTTAAAAGAAGGAAATGAAACCAAATTTTATAAATTTATTTGCGATAGATCAAAAGTTAACAAGTCCAGGAACTATAAGTTGTCCTCGAAAAATGTCTCTTCATCGAACATTTTCACCTAACCAATCACAAACACAATTAGGGTCATCATTAAAAAAGTCAAATCCATATTCTATTATTTTTAATGCTGCAAAAGGAATTAATGAAGAATTTAAAAAATCACATAATGATGGAGAAGAAAACAATTTATCACCATCACTTGCTGATGACGCATTTCTTGAAATCCATAGATCAACAAAATGGATAACAAATGAAAGAAAAATAGCAGCTGAAAAAATTAATGCAGCACTAAAATTAAGACAAAAATATCAATACATAGAAGAACCAAAATTAATAGATTTAATTGATCATAGATTTATTACAAAAGAAGGGATTAGTGTATTTCCAGCACATTATTCTGATGGAATAATTCCAATAGAATTACCAAAAAATGATACAACAATATATTATGAACAAAAAGATGGAGTTTTTATAGTAAAATTAAAAGAAAATAAAGAAAATATATTTACACCAATTACTTTGACAGAATTTATTGAAGATTATAAGGAAATATTAAGAATAATTGATAGTGGACCAGCAAAAACATTTTCAATGGAAAGAATGCAAGAAATGCATCATAGATTTGAATTACATAAAATCTTTTCATTTGATAAAACAAATACAGGAAAAGATTTTTTTTCAGCAGGAAAAGTCGACACACATATTCATGCAGATAGTTGTTTTACAGAAAAAGAATTATTTAAATATATAAAAAGTAAATATGAAAATAAAGAAATAGTTCATGAAATAATAAATAAAGAAGGAAAAAAAGAAAAAGAAACATTAAAAGATATGTGTAAAAGAAAAGATATTAATATAAATAAATTAACATTACATAAAATAGGAGTAAAAATATATAATTATGATAGATATAAAGAAGATGATTTACGTACTGTATTTTTAAATACAAATAATATTATGGAAGGTGAATATTTTGCTGATTTAGTTAAAACAGTAATGAAACATTTAGAAATAACAAATTGTTATTTTGAATTAAGATTAGGTATTAATGGAAAAGACGAAAATGAATGGAATTTATTAGCTCAATGGGCAAAAAAATGGAATGTTAATTCAACTCATAATAAATGGATTATTCAATTTCCTAAAAGATTTGTTGAAATTAAAGGAGAAAATACATTATTTACATATTCTAATTTTCTTTCAAATTTATTTAAACCATTATTTGAAGTATCTAAAAATCCACAAAATAATGAAGTATTAGCTAATTTCTTAGAAAAAGTTTCAGGATTTGATCTTGTTGGAGATGAAAATGAAATTGAACAAATAATTGGTTCAGATACTTTTAATCCTACAAATTGGAATAAATCAGTTAACCCAGCATATTTTATTTATATGTATTATTTATATGCAAATATTGTTTCTTTAAATGTTTATCGTATGTCTAGAGGTTTAAGTACTTTTGATTTTAGACCTCATTGTGGTGAAACTGGTCATTACTCTCATCTCGCTGCTGCTTTCTTAACTGTTAAAGGAATTTCTCATGGAATTAAATTAACTGATTCTCCAACATTAAAATATCTTTATTTATTAACTCAAATTGGTATTACAATGTCTCCAATGGCAAATCATTTAACTCAATGTCAATATAATCAAAATCCTTTTAACAATTTCTTTAAACGTGGATTAAATGTTACTTTATCATCTGATGAACCTCTTCAAATTCATAGAACACAAGAACCTTTAATGGAAGAATTTGCTATGGCACAACAAACATGGAAATTTGAAGATGTTGATTTAGTTGAAATGTGTAATAATTCAATTAAACAAAGTGGATTTTCATTAATGAAAAAAACAACATTATTTAGAAATAAAAATGATATTATGATAAATGGAAGATCATCATTTAGAAATAGATTACTTGATACAGAATTTGCTATTATTAAAGCTTTAATTACTGATAATTCAAATAAAATATTCGGTGATATTCCTGCAACAACTATTGATTTAAATTATAAAACAAAAGATCCAAAAGAAATTGATGTTATGAAAAAAATTACTTATTGGATGTTAGTTAGAGAAAAATATTTTGAAGAAAATTTACCTCAAGTTATGAATGATTCTATTCAATTAAATAATCCTACAATTCCTCAGTTATTTTGTGCTATGTCTAATGGAATTTATAATATTTATAATACTCCTGATGCAATTTGTGGTATTGATCATTATCATAAAGCTTTTGTTTATTGTTTTGATTGTAGAAAAAATTATTGTAAACATTGTTTTAAAGAAGCACATAAAGACCAATATCATTCTATTAGAAGAACTAAACATTTATCATATTTTCCAATTATTGAATTTTCAGAATATATTAATGATTATAATGATCTTGTTAGATTTAGCACTGATGGTCCTTCAAGAACTTTTTGTTATAAACAATTACATTCTAGAGAACAACTCTTTATTCTTCATAAAATTCTTAATAATTCATTAGAGAGTCAAGAAATTAAAAAATTACCTATTGATTTTGAAAGAAGTACTAAAGTTGATACGGTTGTTGCTGCCTCTAGATCATTTCATCCTAGAGATCTTCTTATGTTAATTTGGGATAAATTAAAAGAAGATGGAGAAAGAATTGTATTTCCTGAATTATCAATACAAACTGAATCAGGTACTAGAGTTTATAAACATGTTACATTAAGAAATGCATTTTCTATTTATCAAATTAAAGATTTTTCATTAGATAATTTATCAGTAACATTTGATCCTTCATTAATTCAAAGATATGATTTATGGGATTCAAGAAATACTATATTTAATGTAAAAGAATTAAGAGATTTATTTTTAACAACTACTAATAGTGTTGGTGGTACTTATTTTTGTGAATTCTTAAAGAAAACACGATTTGATCAAGTTGAAGAACAAACTAATCAAAAAACTGAAATGCATATGTGTCTTTATGGCAGAACAATGAACGAAATTGAAGATATTGCAAAGGTTATTGTTAAAAATGGATTAATTTGTCCTGAAAAAAATAATTTTAGTATTCAACTACCAAGAAAATATGCGATGATTAAAAAAGAAGGAAATGTTAATACTTTTGAAGAATTATTACGTCATATGTTTGAACCATTATTTGATGCAACATTAAATCCAGAAAAACATCCTGAACTTGTTACTTTTCTTGAAAATGTTGGTGCATTTGATTGTAAAGGAGATGAATCTGAATTTGAAGGAAAAATATCATTATCTTCATTACCTGTTCCAGCAAAATGGGATTCATATAAAGAACCACCATTTGCTTATTGGATTTATTATGTTCATACTAATATTCATGTATTAAATAATTTAAGAAGAACATTACAAATGAATACTTTTGATTTTAAACCTCATTGTGGTGAAACTGGAGATCCAATGCATAACGCTGCTGCATTTTTAACTGCTGATGCTATTTCTCATGGTATTACATTAGATAAACAAAATACATTACAATACTTATTTATTCTTGCTCAAATTGGTATTTCTTGTTGTCCAATTTATGATAAATTTTTATATGACATTATTGAACATCCTTTTTATAAATATTTTATGCGTGGAATGCTTGTTACTTTAGCTACTGATTCTCCTATGCACACTCATACTACTAAAGAACCTCTTGTTGAAGAATATGCTTCTGCAATTAAAATATTTAAATTAACTGCTTCTGATATTGCTGAAATTGTTCAAAATTCTTTACTTATTTCTTCATTCTCTGCAGATACAAAACAAAATTGTTTAACAACTGAAGAAGGTGAAAGTTCAAGTGTTCCTCAAACTCGACTCCAATTTAGAGCAAAAATTTCTAAATTAGATTTTGATACTTTACTTAAATTTAATATCGGTAGATCAAATTTAACAGAAAAAGAACAAGATATCATTTTACAAGCTTCAATGCATCTCTAAGTTCTCACTTCTTTTTTTTATCATTTCATTGTTTTTATTTTGATTGATTATCAAAAGAACTTTAAAAATGTATTGTGAAACAGCAGACTACCGTTTTTCTAAATATATCTATTATATAAAATTTTAATTTAAACTATTGTTTATTATAATTGAAAGAGGGATTTCATAACAAAATACTTAAAACAGAAGAGAACTATTCTATTTTTTTTAAATAAGAAGCTTCTAGAGAAAAGAAGAAGTCATCAGAGATATTTAAAGAGTTGTTGAATCTGTTCTAAACATTAATCTTATACTAATGGCTGAAGCACTTTTCAAAGAAATTGATGTTAATGGTGATGGAGCTGTCTCCTATGAAGAAGTTAAAGCTTTTGTTTCAAAGAAGAGACCAATTAAGAATGAACAACTTCTTCAATTAATTTTCAAATCTATTGATGCTGATGGAAATGGAGAAATTGATGCAAATGAATTTGCTAAATTCTTTGGATCAGTTCAAGGACAAGATCTTTCTGATGATAAGATTGGATTGAAAGTACTTTATAAACTCATGGATGCTGATGGAGATGGAAAGTTAACTAAAGAAGAAGTTACTTCATTCTTCAAAAAGAATGGAAACGAAAAGGTTGCTGAACAAGTTATGAAGGCTGATGCTAATGGTGATGGATACATTACCCTTGAAGAATTCCTTGAATTCACACTCTAAACTCATTTTTCTTTAAGAAGAAAATTACTTTGTTTTATTTTTCTTATTTTTAATATATAAAAAAGAAAAAGAATAGACAAAAGTTAATTTAAATTATCAAGACATTTCTGAGCAGTGTTAAAGAATGATAAAAATGCACCAATGTTTTGTACCCATATTGATCTATTGACCATGAATTTATACTTAATACCATTTTGGGTTATAGTCTCTAAAATTTTTTTAAAAGCAGGACAAGAAACAAAGAATTGTGTTTCAATATCTGAAATATCAATTGATATTGACGAATGAAATTTTTTAGCTAATGCAATAGCATCATCAGTAGAAGTAGATTCAAAAGTATTAAAATAATTAAAATGAATTGTTCTAATATCAGGAAATTCAGAGCTTAAATCATTAGAAATATCGTATTGTTGTAAAACAGATGAGTCCATAATATCCATTCCTAAATAATTTTCATATGTTTTAAACTCATCGTCAATACTTTTTAATTTTTGAATATCTTCTTTAGTTGCTGTTCCTAAACATTTTCCTGAAGAAGTTTTTTGAAACAATAATCCTATTCCTCTTTTTGGTGCTGTTGTGTCATGATTTAAATAAGGTAATAATAATGTTTTAATATCTTCAATATTTGATGTTGGTGTTAAGAATGTCATATTATATGGAGACATTAAATCATAAAATGTAGTTGAAATTGTGTCTGTAACAACTTTTTGATTTAAATAAAAGTCAGGAATATGATAAACCATTGTTACTTCTTTCATAAATATTTCATAAAAATCTAAAATATATTTCCAATTTTTCCATATTTTTGTTTGTTCAGTTTTCCATTCTGGTAATACGTGTGGTAATAAATACATATTTAATTCATATCCATAACATAAATAAACACTAATTAAAATAATTATCATCTTCATTCCTTTTTTTTCCTTTTTTTAAGTTTTAGTTTTAAAGTTCTATTAAAATTTTAATTTTATTTTTCACTTATTACTTGTTTATTAAAACTTAAATAAAATTAATTATCACTTTAATTTTGATGTAATTTATTAAAATATTGATGTTCTGGGAATCGTTCTTTAATTTTATCATATTTTGTCGAATAAATAAAATCTGTGACTGTTTCTTTATTAAAATGAAACATTCTTTCTTGTCTTTTAATTAATTCTTTTGTTTTTAATCCTAGACCAGAGGAAGTCATATCAGTAACACTTCTTTTGAAATAAAACATTCACACTCAACAATTAATTCTTTCATTCTTTTAGGTAATAAAATAATGACAGCAGATAACGTCATTATAAATTGATCTAATTTATTACATCTTAAGTCTAATGTTTTTATTGAATTTTTTCCGTTAGAATTTTAATTTTTTTAGTGATTTTATGGTAATCTTCCAATATACATTTTCCATAAAACAGATTTTTTCTAATCCTTCAAATTTCTCAAGTTTAATTTTTGTATTGTTATTATAAGTAAGTTTTTTTAAATACTTTGAGCAATTGATTATCCCAAATGAATAATTAAGTTTTAGTTGAAGTAAATTTTTTGGTAGTATGAAAGCAGTAGTCTTAGTATTAACAAGTGAAAGAATTTTAGGTGATTTTAGGAATGTCATGTCTGTACTTTTTTCTCTCTCTTTAAAAGAACTTACAGACGACCTAATTACTAATTTTCTGAGTTGTTTAAATTCATTAAATTAAGGAATTTTTGAAATATTTGATAATTTTAATTCTTTTAGAGTTTGATAAATTACTTTACCTGCTTCTTCTCAATAGTGTAATTGCTGTATTTGATTGAAAGAGATGGTAAAGAATTTGTTAGATGATTATTTGAGTAACTAAACAGTTTAATTTTTTTAATTGTGTTTGGTATTCAGATGAACTTTCCAATAAACTGATGAAATCAAATGATTCAAGTTGACTAAACTTGAATTAATTTTAAAGTTTATCCAAAAACAAAACTCTTCTTATTGAATATTAAAAATAGATGGATAATACATGGCTAAATTGTCTTAGTTCTTCGTTCCATTGATATTCATTATTTGAACTAAAATCAAATGATGAAACAATAATAGTACGATTTAATATAATTATATTTGGCTCAATTAATGGATACCATGTACTTAAAATAAATGTTATTTTATTACTGATTCTTTTTACATTTAATTCAGATAGAGAACCAGTAACTACAACTTTATTGATTGAACATAGTTCAACATCATTAAAAAAATCATTGTGAATATTTTGACTACCAATATATAAATAATCTAGTTGAACACTCCTATCAATACACTCTTTCATGTGATACTTTTTTCTTCCAAATATTATTTTTAACCTTCTAAGTAGTGGAAATTGATTCGTTTTAATCATAACTATATCTTCATAATTGAGCTGATGTAATCCTATCACATGACCATTGACAGTATTTCCTTCTTGTTCTTCTTCACTTCTATGGTCAATAGTCAAATCTACAATTTTGTCTTTAATTACTTCAAGCAGTGGTAATTGTTTAAGTTGACTGTTGTATTCTTCAAAAATATTTTCATTAAGTCACAGTTAATCTGAAATGTCTCTAATTGGTTTAACAACTCCAATTCTTTTCTGAATACAATTTCTTGTTCAACACCCTCTCAGGGTTTCTATAACAACCTGGACTCATTCTTAGAAACTTAAGCACCTCATTACATTTTTTGTTGATTGGTTGAATTTTATCTGTGTTGAAACGTCAAACAAATGGGTCATTACTGTCTCAAGGAAGAACTTCTCCGGTTGAGTCATTCTGTGTTTGTTTCTGATTTCTAAATAAAAGACAATCAAAAAATGAAATAATAATTAGAAATGAGAAACACAATATTATTATATAATTAATGATATAGTAATGTGATATGAATGAAAGATATAGAATATAAAGAAATAATAATAAAATTAAATATTATAATGAAATAATTTAAATATTAATAATAATAAATTATAATGAAATTAATTATGAAATAGTTAAATATAATAGTATTAATATAATAAATAATAAAATTAAAATAATAATTTATTTTTATTTATATTATTATTTTATTTTATTTAAATTTTCTCTTTTATTGTTAAATTTTTTTATTTTTGTTATTATTTTCTTTTCACTTCATTTCTTCATCTATTATCTTATCATTTTCTCTCTTTTTTGTTTGATTTATTATTTCTATACTTTTATTATAACAACTCATTCTTATTTTATATTCTCTTCATAATAACAATTTGATTTAAATATTTGAATACTTGATTATTATCTTCCTTCTTCATTATTTTTTATTGTTTGTATTAATGATATTTATAGTATCTATTCATTCATTTCTTATTATTATTATTAATTTTGATTATAATATTTTCAAATACACTTGTTTTAATTCAATTATTTCAATGATATTGATATTATTGAATCCATATTATAATTGTTTCATTATCATCATTATTAACTTTCATAAATCAGTTAATCTATTAATTAATATATTTAAATATCTAATATCACAAATATTAGTTTTATTATCAATTCTTCTCTTTATATTTCTAATTTATTCAATTAAATTATTAATGTTATGAATTATATCATTCTTTATTGATTTTATTATTTATTATCATTTCAACTTCTCTCTATTATCATTTCTTGTATTAAATATTACATCATTTGATAAATGAAATAATGAAGAAATGAAATATTCTAAACAATCACATCAATTTTCTAACATCAACAAGATGTTTAATAAAATAATAACATGAGATAATAATGAAAATGTGAAATCAAATAAAGAATGAGTATAATGAATATCTAATTTCAAATAATACTAAATCTAAATAATAGAATAGATAATAAACATGTTGAATGAATATATAAATAACTATATTATTCAATAATAATTAAATCATTAAATTAATATTAAATCAATGATAAATTATCAATTAATAAAACTGAATTATATCATATTATAAATTATTCATTAATATTGTGTTTATTATCATTGAAATAAAATAAATATAAGAATAAGATATAAACAATTTTTAATAATAAAATACAATCAAAAATAAATAAATATAATAAAGATTAAACAATGAAATACATCAATATTTACTGATTTGATATTTAAAATAATCAACGAATATTTAAATAAACAATTAAAATTAATACACATCAGATTTATTGATTATTTTGTATTTATTCAATTACTTTTGATTTAATCATCATTAAATGTATTATGAATAACAACTTTATATTTCTTTATATCAAATCATTATTGAAATCAAATTTCATCATTATTAAATATCAATGAATGTTATATTCTTCTTATTGTTACAAATCATTTTAAATTATATATAAATCATCATGATTAAATTATATCTAACATACTCATCATAGATTTCATAATAAATTTTAATTGAAATTACTATCCAATCAATGTTGTAGTGATTCTCTAGAAAATTTCATTCATTGAATAAGTGATACTAATCAATAATATCAAATATAATAACAAGGTTAAATCATATGTTATCATCTAAATAAATCAATACAAATACTATTGTTTCTTTAAAAAAAAATACAGAATTTCTTCAAAACTGATGAATATTATTATTTCAATTTATAACATCATTAATATGAATAGTTATTGAACGATAGTTTATTTTAAATAAATAACACTCTTTTAGAAGTTAAATGAGAAATATAATAAATGATATAAAATGAATAAAAAAGATAGAAATAGAACATATTCAATTTTATTCAACAAAACAAGTGATTAATGATAATATTTATTCATTAATTGATCATTGACATCATCTATCATCTATTCAAATGATAAAGATGATAAATTATTATATTTTAATGAATTGAAACATTTAAAACACTTTTAAATTGATTTATTTAAAAATGTCAACATAATTCTTAACTGATTATTTATCCTCAAATTTCAATTTTACATGAATGAAACAATTGATAAAACAAGAAGAAAATGAAAAATAAAGCAGTTAATTAAGTATTAATAGAACTGTGTCTATTGTTCCTGCCTCACAGGAGAAATCCCTTCCCTTCGTCTTCGTCATGTAGTTCAACAACATATGTTTGGTTGTGGTAGAAGAGTGTTCCATAACATCTAATCATGTTTTTAATTATAAGTTTTTTAACTTCTTTTATGATGTTAATTTCGATTTTTAATTATTTAATTAATTTAATACTTTCTACATTTATTAATTAATTTATTGAAATTATTACTGTATTTATTTTGATATCTTTTAATTTCTCTATTTTTATTAGCATATTCTTCATTTCTTTATACATATTTCTTTTATTCAAATATGCACAAGTAATACTCTAATCTGCTACATTATTCATATCAAATAATATACCAGTTTTATTCTTTTTATTTGTTACATATATATCTGATATTTTATGATATTATCATTCACTTTTTGATATTATTTGTTTGTTCAATATCATATTGATGTATTTGTATTAGAACATTGTTTCATATATTGATTTCTTGTATTGATTATTTCATATATATTTTCTTATTATCTAATATGATAATACTAATATTGTCATGTTTCTTATTTTGTGATTTTTTATGACAAATACAAGAAAATAGAACTTGTTTTACTATTGTTATATTGTATTTACAAAGTGCGGAGTATTTTAATCTTTCATTTTTTAATATTTTATCTTTTTTGTACATACTGAATATTACTCC